CAGACATCTTGGAATAGGTGGCAGTGCCCACATTTTAATCCATTACACATGGCCATCTGATCGAACGAGTGTACTATTTGCATGTAATTTGCTTATCTCTTAAATAATCAATTATTGCGCACATGAATCACTTTGTTCCCGTGAGCTCAATCTATTTTAATTGTTGAATTGTTATCATCGACGGCCCTTGCATGCGGAATGACATCGCGTTGGCACTACGTTTATAAGTCCGTTTTTATCTCTGCTCGAGTTTCACTGCAGCAGTTTGAAATCGCTCTCTGGCAATCGTCCATGTAAATGTTGTGGGGATTTATGATGCAGGCAGCTACATGAACTACCGTAAGTGTAAATAACGTAGACAAGTGTTGTGTGTGGCCGACTAACTGATCCATTTAGCTTAGCTGTATTTCGTTTAACATGTATATGGCAGCAAGGGTTTAAAAAAAACCTGATTGTGTTGGACGTACGGAAACATTTTCACATACAACGATAAAAAATAATGTTTCGAAAACTAAACTTCCGTGATTTTTATAGATTTTTACCGTTGAGTTATCTTTCTCGGCTGTGTTGTTTGTACTCTACAGATGTCTGTTTCGCACCGCAAGTCCCTAGATTATATAAGAAACCTTTTGCTTCTGTGGACTCTTGGTTGGAGAGTCTTAAACTGTGACAGGTTAAGAGGAACGCGTGAGCCTCATTACATCCTTGCTAATTAGTGCACAGATGTCAGTGTACGGTAGAGCTATAGTGTAGTTGGGGAACTTTATTCTAAATACAATACGATGTTGTAAATGAATAATGTCTTTCATTTTATCCAAAGAAGTGTCAGTCTCCAGACCTTTTCTTCAGGGAGGGTCCTGCGATGGAATATTTAGCCAAATCCATGAATGAGCGCGTCATGCTGCGTGTGGGCGATCGTACTTGTTGTGTGAGTGCGCGATGTGAATCTCCGTTAATTTGGGCTCGTTAGTCTAATAAGGTTCTGCAACAATGAATCGTGAATTGTGGCAATTAATGAAGGTCCCTGTACCGGGCAAATCGTTACGTTTCTTGCTAGTTTACACCGCTTTCCTCGTTTTCCGTCTCTCATTTTAGCATAAATGTAACGGCACAATTTGCATGAATCCTAAATAACTGATATTCTCAAGTGCACAACTCCACACATACTGTGTGCGTAAGAATCCCATTTTCATGGCCCACTGGATGGATCGTTACATGTCCGCTCTGTGCCATCCCTCTTGCCGCTGCATAGACAGCTCGCCGATGTGTGGCTCGCCGATGCTCCGCTCGCGTCCACTGCTTGTGATAGAGACCCTCAGCTGCACCGTGAGAACTGTGCGCTGAGATGAGTGGCGGTCACGTGGATGGATCGTGGTGGTGAGAGGGATGGAGGGTGGGTTTGGGCAGCGAGGGGTGTGAGATTCCCTGGTTGGAGACCCCCCCCCCCCCCAGCGCTCATGAGCAGTGGAAGGACGAATGGAACGAGACAATCGCCAGAAGAGTAACGGAAGGAGAAAAATGTGGAAGAAGAGCAGGAGTAGGAACAGAATGGTGAGTAGGAAAATGATGTGAGGAAGAGCTGGTTGAGGTGCAAGAGGTACATGATCAGGAGCAGGAGAAATAGAAGCTGAGGAGTAAAAACAACAAAGAACACAAGGAGATGGTGACAGGAGGAGCAGGGGGAGACGACGATGGGAGGAGGAGAGGCACGAGCAGGAGGAAGATATGCCGAGAGACGGCCATGTCAGGAGGGAGCAGAAGGAGGATCGGGAAGATGGAAGCTGGAGTAGTGGATGCATGAGGAAGAGCAGCAGCATCAGAGGGAGCAGCGGGGGAAGCAGGCGGATCATCAGGAGGAGGAAGCAGCAGGAGGGGGGAGCAGCTGCTCAGCGTCTGCACCTAAAAATAGTGCCGTCGGATTTTGTGTGAGCGAGCGAGTGCAATCCGGTTTGTGGTTCTCGTCCGTATTTTCTCCTTTTTTGTTTTCCTTTTCTGCGCACGTTCTGCCCTGCTGCGCCATCGTCAACTGAGAGCGCCACCATTTTACACGGTTGCAGTGTTGGCAGGGAGACGTGTGTGCCTGTGTGTGTGTGTGCGCGCATGTGGGGAGCGGTCGTGTAGCGATTAACACGCTGCGCTACGAACCCAGTTACCAGAGTTCGATTCCCGCTCATGGCAAACACCAGTGACGATTATCTGGACTGGTCCTGGGCCTCCTTTAGGTCGACTCAGCCTCAAATGAGTATCTGGTGCGGTGTGTAAACATCGCCACTAGACAAAGGGGGCCGGGCAGGGTGCTGGCCACCCACCCCCTCGTGTGCCGTGCCAGCCTTCATAGGTGCTCGCTAACAGCACTTGCCCCAGAGGGTTTTTGTTGTGCGTGAATGTTCGTATATGCATATTTAGAGCGTCTTGAGGCAGTCGTGTAGATGCACTGAATACAAATTATGTTGTCTTTTGCAAGTAATATACACACGACTGTATTTTGACTCGGTTAGAAGGTTCTGAGTTAATATCCCGATCAGGTGTCAGCTCGGCCAATCATTTTACCCGACTTGAAACATTTATTCCCGCTTTTAGAAAGTCAGCAGTGTTTGTCCTATGGAAAGAATTACTCTGCCATAGAAATGTTGAATTTATACACCTGGCTAAGAGCCGCAAACAAAGATGACCAGAGCCACCAACAGAGATGAGCCTTTATTTTGTTTCAGAGATGGTCGAGTGACTTGTGGGGGGGGGGGGGGGGGACAGTCATAATGGTCATATCAGAGCACTGAGCCGGAACCGCTGAGCCTCTGCGTTTGTATCCAGGTTTGAGCTGCCTTTAAATGAAACCGGTTCTTAGGTGTAGCGAATTGCGGGCCTCACTACTGCCTGCACAAACCAAAAAATTCGAGGAAAATGTTGATTGTCACTTAATTTGCCTCTTCGCCTCCAAGAAGGCAAGATTAAGGTTTGATTTGACGTGCAACGAATATTCTTTTGCAGGGCGTATAAAATGTGCGCCCAGTATGAGGAAAAGAGGCCTACCGAAGTGACTTCTGCATTAATGTTTGTCGTCATATTTCGGGACTGTCCTCTGACACACTGCTCACTGTCAACGTTCTTCATGGAACTCTTCTCGATAATTGTGCAAAATATGTTTTGGAATAAAAACGTAATTTAATGCAAAGCTTAGCATTTGCTCTGCAGTTTTCACGATCTGCCAAATGTCTGCATTATCACGCTCGCCTGATCTTGATTTAAACACAAATCAAGCTGTCACACGTTGCACACACCTGATGATTGTTAAACGTGAACCCCTTGGCTATGGCGTAGCACTACCAACTATTTACAGAGGCTAGATAAAGAGGTGAAAATCTCAGGTGCTGTATGTTTATCGCCTCGACCATCCATGGCAGATTTCATTCTACAGATTAGCGATCGCTTATTGACAGTTGTGAGTGCCATTGTTTAGTACACAATGCAGGTAGCGATACGAACTCCCACTCGTCTAAACAATTGTCTTATGCTTGTAGTTGGCAGGGTGGGCCGGTCAACACTCTTATCTTTTTTACTTTTGTGTGAAAACTGTGGCCGAAAGCTTTGTTTTGCCAATTGTTGTTGCGCAGATATATTTAATTAACATTTATTTCTGTTGGGTGATTTTATTGGTTGTACTAGTTTTGTTGGTGTCTGTGGGCGTCGCCTGGTTTCTCCAGCTGTGTATACCACGGGAAAGCGGCTGTATGCAGGAGTTCGTTCATTCTTCTGCCGCTTCCAGTTGTCGTGTTGAAAGCTGCGCAAATAAATCGGTGATCCGAGTTTGATTCCTCGCCACGTCTTAACACCCGTTGACAACAAATATAACATGTCCCTGGACCTCCGCTCGGTTGACTCGGCCTCAAATGAGTACCTGGTGTGTAATGTGTCAACATCATCACTAGAGAGACAAAGGCGGCCCGGCGTGGTGCTGGCCACCCCCCCCCCCCCCCCCCCTCGTGTGCCATGGTAGCCATCATAGGTGCTCGCAAACAGCACTTGCCCTCATCAATTTGTTAATGCTCCACAGGGGATCTTTGTCTTTGTTCCTTGATAATCACTGAAACCACAGCCCTTCTGCCTCCGACGCTTTGAGCCGATTACTCGCAGGCAAGCATGTGAGCGACCAGGTGCGCTGTATAAATAATAAAGCCTGAAGCGATCAACCTCACCCGCCTCCAAGTGTTTGCAAGCCAGTCAGCTTTCCATCCGAGGGCACCTGGCACTCTGGCCGTGGATTGCTGATGAGACCAGATGTCGCGGAATGGGCTTAAGATAGTGGCGCTGTGTCGAGCCCGACATTTTGGCGACTGAACACTTACATTTGTTGTAGTTATGAAATCCGGCAGAATTTAATATGGAGCAGCAGCTCAAAAAGTACCCGGATGATGATTGTCAGGATTAATTTATTAATTTTTTCCTTAATAATAAATTGAGATATTGGCCTTGCTTGTGAAACCGTTCTGGCAATACTGGACTTGTGGGGACATGCAATTCTGGCCCAAAGCTCCTGAGCTGTAATGAACAAGACTTGTCTGTGGTTCACGTAGAACCGTATGTATTTTCACACTTTTTGCGTGAATGCTGCACGTGGCTATCTCACTCGTTCGAGAGCTTTACGTGGGAAGAAAAAAAATTGTTTCGTTTTATTTGAATATATTTTGAAGTGAATTGCTTACCTTTCCTATACTTTTGAATCAAATATCGTGTTTTGTATTGCCTGTAATGTTCTGACCTGCCCCTACTAGACATCTGTGAAAATTTGCTTTATAGCTAAGCGGTTTCCTGCAGTATAAATAAAGATTCTGACTTAGTTTGTCACCTTTTTTCTTTGACAATTTCCAGCTCTTGTGGACTAAGAGATCCGGATTTAGGGTTGGTGGTAGACTGTGTGAGACGTCTCCTGTCCATGCCCCACGTACCTTAACACACAGCAATGAAAAAACTGACCACTTATCTTTGGTTTCATTCTGTTGCAGAATTCCACGTGAAAAGAGGAGTGCCCGCGAGAATTCTCTGAGCCCAGCCCAGTGCAGCTCGGCCACTCGCTCGTCCTCCCGCTTCATCACCCTTGCCACCCGACAACCGCCATGGCAAGCCAGCAGCGTCAAAGGTCCATGTCCACATCCGGGGAGGCCCTGTACATCGTACTGGGTCTGCAGAAAGGAGCCACAGCCGATGAGATCAAGAAATCCTACAGGTGCGAGGAGGTGGTCTGACCAGAATCCAAGGTGGGGGAAAGGGGGTGGCTCAGGAAGGACTGGTGATGCGATGCCCGTTAGGAGTGATGATTCGCCATTTAAAATTGTTTATGCTTGTGACGCGTGCATTGAATCTCGAGGGATAGAATTAACTTTCCATTTTGTCCAAATGTGTGCATAGTTTCCATTCGTCTTACAATTGTAAAAAAATGACCTCGCCCATCACAATTCTGTGACAAAGAGCTGTCCTGGCATGTTTGTCCGTATGTTAAACTTCTTTCGCACCGTACATAGCCGACGGTGCTAATCGGAGGTGCGCGATAAGGACGTCAATCTAAACAGAGTAGTTCTAAAGAAATTAGTTTTCAATCTAGATTTCAAAGTGCATAGGTCCAGTGGCTTCCTAATATCGGAAGGAAGAGCATTCCAGACGGCTGAAAAAGTGCATCTGACAGTGTGCGCTTCAGTGAATGCCATTGCCATCGAACAAAGTGACCTTAACACCCACTCGGCATCAGCTGAGTGGATGCTCAAGGTCGGGGGTCGTGTAAACGTGGAGGTCACGCAAGACATTGTCGGCGTCGAACCTCGGCGAACGTCGCCCAGCTTCACTGTCCCTTGACAACGATGCGTTCCTTTCCCCTGCCCCGACACAGGAAGCTGGCGCTGAAGTACCACCCTGACAAGAACCCGGACAACCCCGAGGCCGTCGAGAAGTTCAAGGAGATAAACAATGCCAATGGCATCCTGTCCGACCTGAAAAAGCGCAACATCTACGACCAGTACGGCTCGCTGGGCCTGTACGTGGCGGAGCAGTTCGGGGAGGACAATGTTCACACCTACTTCATGTTCTCCAGCTGGTGGGCCAAGGTGAGCCAACAGTGCTTAACGAGAGAGGAGACCAGGTGGCCATGATGACTCCCCCGAGTTGGGTGACTCGGGGGAGTCATCATGGCTCAGTCGGAGATAATGACTGAGCACCACTGAGAGCCTTGGTTCGCGCCCTGGGTCTGGGTGTCTCCCTTTGTTACTCTCACGGGTTCACAATGGCTGTGTCGGAGACACTGAGCTCTAGCGCTGCTGTTGTCGAGGGTTTTAATCGGGGCCCTGTGCTGCATTATGATTAAGCTGGGCAGTTAAGTGTAGTGAGTTGGTGGTCTTGGCTCATTCACCAATGAATTGTCATCGTAGTGATGATCATTATCGTTATTTTCATCATTGTCATCGACTTAGCGATTTGATGATCTCGGCTTGATTACCATTGCATCGTCATCGTCTTTGTCGTCATCAATTGCCATTGTTTGATTTTCTGATCCCACAATACATCCAACTAATTTATATCATCACTTTCATGTCCATGGCATTCTCCTCTTGGGCATGTTCACCAATGACTACTCCAAAAAGTTATATTCGGATATATTTTAGCTCTGAGAGTTATACATTTGCACAAGTGTGCACTGTCTGGTGTGGATAGATATGCGGATATTGAAATTATGTTTGGGTTGGAGTTAGATTAGGTTTAACGTGACTTTAACACTGCTCTTTGCTAGAGTGTCGATAGCGCAAATGCAATATAACTGATAGTAATAAATATTTATATTATTTTGGCATAGTTCAGTTATGTGCTATGAACAAGGGTCATTGCCGTAAATTACATCCATTATGATTTTTTCTTTTCTTCTAGAGCAGTGTTATCGACGAATGTGATGTTTTTTGCGTCACTTTTAAATTCAACTATTACATCGGCCAATCGTTTCACCGCTGCCCCTGTATCGCCCGCAGTCCCTCTTCCTGTTCTGTGGCGCCATCACGGCGTGTTACTGCTGCTGCTGCCTGTGCTGCTGCTGCAACTGCTGCTGCGGTCGCTGCAAGCCGCGTGTGCCGGAGGAGTCCGACTACGCGCACGTCAACCCCGAAGACCTGGAGGCCGACGACGTGGCTGACGGTGACACTGGTAAGGCGACGGGCACGGCAGCAAACAGCGGGGATGGTGCACACCGGGCCAGCATTGCCACAGCTGGCCATGCATAGGCTTCTGACCTCAAACATTGCCAAAGTAAACTACAGGGTTATTGGGTTAGAGCTGAGCCGTCCGTTTGTTTAGATGATTGATTACGCTACCAATTATTGCTTCGGTAATTTGACTATTCGGATCACGAGATAATAGTTGGGGGGAGGGGGAAAAAAGTCTCACTTCTGTTCCCACATGTGACGCTAGCAACAGATGTGTCGTGCTGGGTGTGGCTTTTAGGGGAATTTGTCGTCTTTGGGAGACAGGAGGGGTGGTGGGCAACCATTTTTAAATGGGCTCAAGTAATCAACCACAACAAGTTGATCGGTTACAATGTTTGGTCGTTTCATTGGCTTGTTTGACTAATCTCTCCCAGCTGTTTCCCATATCAATTACGAGACCACCACTCATTGCCACAGCTATCCATGGGGTCATTCCTCATGATCTCACAGCTAACTACGGAGTTCTCAGGTGAATCCCTAGGGTGGCCATTCTTAACCTGGCTCGGCACAAGAGGCTTTAAGAAACTTGGCCTCGTAGCCTTACGATGGTCAGGTTGCATGATTTAACCAAAGTACCATCCACCATGGGAATGTGGAATTTTCACCACAAGGATTATGATGATGACCAATGACCATGACCACCACCACTGCTCCACCAACGTGGATAGAATTTGTGTGTATGTAATCATTTCTTTGTTTTGTCCTTCATTCATTAATGCATTTTCTTTCTTCCATAATTTGTCGGTTGGTGAGATGGTTAGGTGACTCAGGGATCTTTAATACCTTATTAGGACGCTGAGCTAGCATAGCCAAGATCCTGGATTTAAATCTGGGTTTTTAAGCCACCAATGATTAAATACATTCTGAAGCTGACTGTCTCTGTCCAGTCACTAATAATTGAATAAAAAAAATTTATATGAGATGTAAATAAAACTGCAAATATATAATCTTGAGTTTATGTACATATTGTAATTTTTTTACATTTAATTCCAAAGTGCGTGTCCACGTGCCATTGGAAATGCCGGTTTACTGCGTACAACCGTACGTCACTTTCGCTGGTTTGTGCACACGTGCTTCTCAGGGTTTTGTGTAAGCGTGTCCTTTCCTTCTGACTAACCTTGTCTTGTTTCACCTGGCAGAAATTATAACAAAGCAGCCGGGCGGCGCCGTACAGTGCTAGACGCCAGCAGTAAGCCCAGACACCACCGCCCACAACGCCACCACTACTCACCCCACACGACTCGGGATGCGGGGACACAGGGAGGACCTTTGTTCAGAATCCCAAAGCCAGTTTTGCGCTTACTAACTCGCTCGCTCGCTCTGTCTCTCTCGTGCTGCGTTTCCACAACCACTGCCAGGCCCACTCTCAGCCCGAGGAATGATCCTGGGCCATTTTCAGTATCGACCGCGTTGGCCCATTGAGGCTGCCGTGGGAGCACAGGCGACGCCCCCACTAGCCCCGCCGGTACATTAGCCAAGCTGACTCCCTTCACAGTGGTGGTGGAAACGTGGCGTCACACACACGGCCTTGTGCATGTCACAGGAAACAGGGTTTTTTCTGTTGCGAACGAATTGATGATCACAATTAAAGTGCAACACTCGCAGTGGAAACGGACATAATCCACGTATATTTCACTGTTGTACAAATGTCTAAAATACGCGAGATCTTGGTGTATTGCAAATACCTCTATTTACTACCCAATGGGAATTTGTTATCTCTGCGCTTGTTCGTTAAATAGGAACAGTTTTCCACGCGGTAAAAGCAACCGTGTCACATTTGTTACATTTCAGATGAGCATTACGGCCAGTTTGCTTCATTACTCCAACAATAATGTAGCCACGGTCATATTTATTTCCTAACCTGGACATTTTATCCACGTCTGTGAATTCAACTTTTCTTAAAAATAAATAACGGGTGGAGCTGTGGCACAATGGTTATCGCACTGTAGTGTGAACCCAGCGACCTGAGTTTGATAATCGACCACGGCTAACATGCAATGCATGGCTTACATCCGTGTTAGCTGTGCATCAGGAAGTTTGCCCAATTCCGTTATAAATAATGTGATGTTTTTTGTTTTGTTCCTCTGGCGCTGAGGCATTGTTGTCACACAGCTATAATCTAGCGGTGTTGGTGGGTTACTGAGTGATGATCATGTAATGTACTGTATCGCTCCTAACCAGCACGCCGATAGATTTACCAGTAGATGGCAAGACAACATATGGATGTCATACCGTCTGTATGGATAATTGAGGGGTCATCATTGTGTAAGTATAGGTGCTCGGGTACATTTTTTCCATAATCAGAATTAATAATAGAATAAATTGGCAAAACATCCCAGTGCAGAACGCTCCTGAAAAAGTCTTCAAACTCAATGAGGTTTTCTTGCGTAAATAAGTGTACATATAATGAATATTGTTAAATTATTAAATAAATTAGAAATCTGAATATTGATTTAAATGCTAAAGTCCACGTGCAATTTCATTTCAATCTAACTTAGAATCGAACGTCGTCATTTCAGCACAAATGCCAGGTTGAACACGACATGGGTTCTTTTGATCCGGATCAGGAGCGTCATAAAGAGCATTGGTCTTGATTCATTATTTATTTATTACATTTGTTTACCCAGGAGAGCCTCACTTGAGTCTCAAGACTCCTTTTCAGGAGGGTCCTGCCAAGTTTTCGCAGTAGGGGGGGGGTGCGATGTTGCTGCTGTGTGGAATCCCGATTGAGTAATTTGCAGGTAATTTGTTAGCATTTGGGAACGTTGGGCCAATACTAGTCACATTGTAGTAAGTGCGTTGATGTCTTCTAGCTTGATTAAAAGCTTTCGTGACTGCAGGAATTCTTACGCTTGGCTCTTTCGGCCAGGTCACGTAAATAAAAAAATAATTTTTATACTTTTCTAGCTGTCGCATGAAACCAGAGAATCTGGAGGAAACGCATGCAGAACCAGGGGTAGAGCATATAAATGCCACGCCAGAAAGGTACCCTAGTCGGGAATCAAACCTAGGATCTTCTAGATGTGAGGCACTAGTGTTACCACTGCACCACCCTGGTTATATTGGAAATGTCATTGATTTGGCATTCCATCTCAAGTCATACTATGGCACGGTTGTGTGCTGCCCTCCTCTCACCCTCAAGCCCAACCGCCCTGACATCTGGAGTCTGGTAGTGTCAAACCGCCCCTCACCCCCCCCCCCCCAAGCCTATCTCTGCGTGCATCCAATTGTTTAATTCACATAGCAAAGGCTGTGACAGAATAGAGGGCAATGTTACCACGGTTTATCGATCGGCCTAAAATAACACATTTATTTAACACCCCGCTCCCAGGGTGTCTGTCACTTGGCACAACGATGCACGACGTCTTTTTAAACCCTACGCTATTTTTTGTAAGTAATCGACATGCTTATCTGCCACACACTTGGCCGTGTGAAGAATTAAAAATAATTGCATCAACTTTCTGGAGCGCAAATGTTGCCGTGAGGGATCCCAAGTGGGTCTGCGGTGTAAAATCGTGGGCAATTAAACGGATGAGATATTTACATCCACCCAACCCACCCCACCCCACAAACAACACAGCTTCCCCCCCCACCACCACTCGTTGCATAAATCCCAAGCCCTAAGCTTATCAGTAGCCGCGCATGGCTCGAGGAACCACTCGCGGCGGCCAAATCACGAGCGTTCACTTAAATTACAAATCGGCGCCTGCTGTGGGGTGCGACTGCAGTTTGCGCGTCTCTCGCGATAAACGTCACGTTTGTTTGCTTAGTAACTTTTGTGTCGACTTGGCCTTTAAGTGCCGACTGTCGGTATCGGTTTTATTTCCCTCTCGTGGGTTGATGTCCTAATCAAATAATTCCGAGTCCCCAACTCCCCACATGACATCCCCCCCCCCCCCGCACCACAACTACTGCTGCTCCCCCAACCTCCGAGGCCCCTACATGGCAGTAACAACAAGAAGCTCTCTTGGGTGGGAGGCTGAGCAAGGTACCGTTCGCCATGCAGCCGTCAATGATGTCAGCGGTGGTGAATCACGGCCACGCCCTCCTTAACGCTCCGTGTTCCATCGCTGCGTTCACTAAGCTGCTTATTCCCGTTAGTCGATACCATCTCTTGATATGTAAGATCCCCCTGCAGCCGAAAAAATAAATCAACGCGGTTAACAAATACAAAATAATTGATGCAAGATTAATTGGATCAACACGTTTATCTGGCATGCACTCGACCTCGCTTCGTCTTCTGTCGCTCGCGCCATGTGTTCTGACATCACGACCTCTGCGACTGTTAGACTGAATGGGGGAGCCTGTGCTGGGACAGGTGATGAAAGGCGCGTGACCTCCGTGACACGAGATCCCATGTGCTAATATTTATATTTTTTTGAAAGCGTCAGGTCAGATTTTGCTGGGCTGAACCACACCCGTTGGGTCAAAATCCGCCGGCGTCATTTCTGAAAAATACCGTACCTCATCAAGTGAACATGCAGGCGTTGTTACTCACAGGATGAGAACATCGTTGAGCATTTCACTTGAACCTGGGTTGAACCCCGCAAACAAGCACACATACACGCACGCTAAAATCATTATGGAGGGGGTGACATCACCAGCCGGGTCTCACGCTCCCTGCCACCACAAAAGATGATAAGTGAAAATGTAATTCTCTAAAAATGTAATGTAACTTAGAGGAAGATGCAACCCAATGAAACAAACTCTTAAAGGCATGTACCCATGCCATCTGTCCTGGGCTATCTAGCGTGAGTTTTAAGCTTTGTTTTTGAGAATGAGAAAAAAGGCTTAAAATTTACAGTCGGGCCCGCTACGATAGATATTTATTTACATCACGGCAGTGAAGTATTCATATATGTGTGACATCATAGTGATGTACCATTGAAGTCCTTTTATTTTTTCATTACGAACTTTAAATTTCGTGACGGTGCAGCACAGTGGACATATCCCAGCTACGCGGTCTACAAGATAAAGAGTTTCTATTTGAATTTGCATCTTTCTTTAAAGTTATTTAATTCAAAGCATTACTATCCATGCACATTAAGATGTGCGGGTTTGATTTCTCAGCAGGTGGTGAAAGCAATCCTCACGCCTGTCAATCACTAATGCTTGTTGAGCACATCTGCAAGTGGTTGGACGTTAACATTTTTGGATGAGTGAATGGGAGGCGAGAGGTTGTCCGTCGGTTCGCACGAGGACTGGAATTGAAACACTGGTGCTGAGCGGTGGTTTCTGGGCTAGTGGTGATGTTGGTGGTGGCGTCGTCGGTGACAGTGATGGTGGTGGTGGTAACTGACTAATCAAGCCTCTAATCAAGCTTAACCAAAGCTATGCTTTTGCGATGTACGTGTGCGCGAGGCATGTAACGATTCATCCTTCAACCCCCTGCTATAACTGGAATTTAATGACTTACAATTTATTGTCTAGATTCAAGAATCAGTAGATGTTTTGTTTGTTTCATTTGTACCTCATTTGTATTGTCTGTTGCGTACAATGTCTTTGACTCATTTCGATCATTCAATTTTCCTAAAATTCACGTTTTCAATTTAAGTTACATAGAATCGAATTTGAGCGATGCGCTGAAAAATCGTTCATGTTCCTGGCATTTCACCAATGGCGCTTGAATGTGCAAGCGTGTTCAGTTGGCAGCCCAAGACAACGCCTCCTCTCCGCAGGACTTGTTCTGTTCTACAAACTCGCGGTCAAAGCTCCTCGTGCGCACTGGGCAGTGCCCATGTCCCATGAACCGATCGGGAAAATTCCACAGACGCGTAATCGATGCCCTCAATTGCAATTTGAAAGTCTCGTGCTCAAATCCTCGCCGGATGCCTGCTCGCCCCCAACATCCCTCCAGGGTCCGATAAGCCGTACTGTTGTCCAAAAATAAAACCCGGTGTTTGCCGACGGGGCGTCTCAGACCACGTGGCATCCATGTTTCTTGGAACGCAATTGCAGCCAACGCTGTTCAGCCGACAGGCAAATTCATGCACTGTTCATTTGCGTATGATGATAATGAAGATATTGAAAATGGAAGGAAAGGATGACGCACAATGGTTATTAATGTGCATTGTAGCAATATTAATCGGGCAATTTTTATCCTCCCGGACAAAGATATCCAATGAAGTTGTGATTTTGTTAGATGCCTTTGCAATTCCAAATTATTGTGGTTAAAACATCTCCATTTTCTGGGATTGATAAAAAAAGTACCAATTTCTGGATAGATTGGCCCCCGGCATGGGAATGTGGAATTTCTACCACTGGCTCAGGGCCACCAATTGATATGAGTGCTGCCCCCCCCCTGCTCATCTTAGCAGGGAGACACCTTGGAGTTGCCGATTGAGGCATCTGGAGCGTGTGACATCACTAACCCGTCTGTGCATTCTGTAAAATCGCGTGTCCCCTGGTCCCGTAGAATAAGATGCTGCATGCAGATGCAGGCAGTGGGAATCCTTATACTCACTTCACTCCGTTTCATAGCTTATGATTCTAGAAAAACAACATTATGGGAGCCTGTGTCTAATGATAGTAATAATAATGCCCTTTACACAATAACAAGTCTCATTACTTTTTAATGAGGGTGCTGCATTGAGCTGTTTGGCAATTCCGTTAATGGGTGTTCAGCTTCGTGTGGGAGGAAACTGGAGTACCCACAGAGAACCGACCATGCTTACTGGCAGATAACGTTCATAAGCGCCACACGGATTCAACAATCCAATGTTGTCCTTCCATCTTGACCACATCTCTTACAGGCCTTTCATCGCCACTACCCACCCACCACCCTCCCCCCACTCACCCCCACAGCAATTGATCCCTCCGTTTTGTGTCTCTTCGCAGAGGAGACGCCCGTTGTGGTGCAGCCATCTTCAGCCTCTGAGACAACGCAACTGAACACCGACTACAAGCCTCGCTACACCGACGACCCGTTCAACTAAGCTCGCGGGAGCCAGTTTGAAGCTGCGGCTGTGGTGGTCGGGTGGGGAGAGGGTGGGTAGGAAAGGAATGGGGGGGGGATAGGTGTATGGGCTCGTGTGCATGCAAAGGCCAGTTCTAAACTCGGCGATGTGTGACGGCATCGGCTAAAACCCGCCCGTAGATCGCTCGCTCGTACCGTGTGTTAAATAGGGATTCATCTGGCACGACATGGACGCGTATTGAACAGCGTCACCAATCTCGCACACACACACATGTATGTGCGATCGGTGTAAAGGTCACCATCGCATGGGGATGTCTGTCTGACTGGCGATCCACCGTGCGGTGCGCAGGCACGCGGTGCGAACAGTGTAGTTTCACTCGGTGCCACTGCCGTCATGAATCGCCCCGGTGTGGGAGCAGCCTTACGAACTCGGGGGGGGGGGGGGGGAAGGGGGGCAACAGTCGTGACACAGGAATTTGTTGCGTCGTGCGAGCGACGAATGTGTATTGTGCAAAACTCTATGAAAGCATCTTTGTGGGCTCTACGATGTGAATAATGATGTACGTCGATACCAGGTGGTTCAAGCCGTGTGATTTTTGATTTACGTTTTCTTTTATATATAATGTTTTGTTTGGTTGCGGTCTTTAATTTACTGTGTTGGAGTGATCCGTGTTTGTGTGGGTGTGCGATTTTTTGTTTGCTTTTTTAGTGACCGTCAAACTTGTGAATCTGTAACACCGATCCTTGCGAACTTTTAATTTGTCTAAAAGAAAAAAGAAAATCCAAACAGGACGTATATATATGAGCATGATGTGCTTATTTTTTCTGGCATTGTATTGTGTGCAGAAGATGTTCTACAGTGAAGATGTTCTACAGTGAATATATTGGCATCGACTCGTTCACGCAAACATTAATCCACTCAAGCAAGTGACGTGCGCTTGTGTGTCGTGGGTTTCGTGTAACCCCAGCAATGGAATCCAGTCATCATTGCCACCCTTCCATGTGCTGGTTTCAGTCCCTTCCTATGACACGACATAATTAATAATTTACTATTTATTCGGCACGATTGGTTTAATCAGCTTTTGCGCTTACACCACGCAGTGCGACAGACTATTCGAGACTATTCGTTAAGGGATCAAATACTTTGGATTTGTACATATAAAGTAAGCTTCCCCCCCCTCCCCTCAAAGCCATTGGTTGGAACTAAATGGAACATATGAGATGGCACAAACAAGGCAGTACAGACGAGACGGTGCGGACCAGTACAAACAAGGCAACAAAATCAGATCTTGAATGAAACAGTCACCCCGAGTTTTGACAATTCATTGCGGCGTGGTGGCTGGTCGATTGTTTCTTTGCCCAGTGCTTGATCAGCAAAGTCTCCCCGAGAGTTCTGCTATCGAAATGTCTGGACAATTATTTTGTCCGTAAGAATTTACCTGCAGGGGCAATAACATTGCTTAAAAGCTCGTACATGAAGTAGGTCTCCCAAAGGCTTATCCGTGCTGGATTGTGTGTGTTTTACCTTTGCGTACCTGTGGGGGTTTCAACTGCAATTGCACTGATACTTATAACGCATTAATTGGTTAAACATCACAGGCAATTCACCTTGAAACTCAATGAGGTTTTTCTGGTCAAAGACAAAATATCTTTTTCAAAAACAATCAAAAACCTGAGCAGGCATCTTCCTCATGGGCAGATAAGTGGTGATCAAAAAGTCCATCTCATATCCGAGAAGTGGTACAACAACAAAGGTCAGATGTTTAGTTCACACACCAGACCTGGTCCCCAGTGCCGTCCACATGTCTCCACAGTGAAGTAATCATCATGGGACCTCCTTTGCCAGTCCCAAAATATGAGAAGAGGGTTTTCCCTTTTTTGTGGCAACAAAACAGCTGTGTTAAGATGTTAAAACACCAAACTGAAACCTTTTACAAGGAATCATGTCTGCATTAACCACTGCTTGTGGTCAGAATGCAAACCAAAAACTCTGATAATATATGCATTGCCTTTGAATATATCAGTGTTTTTTGTGCAAACAAAAAAACTCATATTATCAGTGTTTTTGTTTGCATTCTGACCACAAGTATTGTGGTTAATGTAGACATGATCCTTGTTAAAGGTTTCAGTTTGGTGTTTTAACATAACACCTGTTTTGTGGCCAGAAAAATGGGGGAAAACTATTGTGAAATAATCACTTCTTGGGAAAAGCAACGATGTCGTGACAAGCGACATGTGGTAAGTGTTTGCGAGCGAAACATAGGGTTCTCCTGGGTGGCGATTAAAGTCTTTGTACATTGACGATGAGTGAGTCAGTGCACGACACTTAAGTGGGACCATGTAGAGAAATGGCAGTGCCCCCATCAAGACCATCTATTCCTCAATCTGTCAGGACACAGACATTTTCATCGCCCCATTGTATGTAATTCTTAGTTGGGCAGGGACTTCTTTAGACCAATGGTTATGAATAAAATACCCAAAACATTGTGCTGGCCTGGGGCCACGTGTGACCTAATCAAATTAGGAGCGTGGCAGGTGTGATTACAGGGCTTGGCAATGTGCGTGCATCTTCTGATCGTGTTGGACTTCCTCGGTCGTGCGTTGGTCATCGCCGTACATCTGGAAACGTCTTCACAATGGCAGTTGATGGTTTTGGCTCAAAAATTTCCAAAGATTGTTTTGTTGTCGTGGATGTTCCAGTGGTTGGTTGTTTGGTGGCGAGATTGCTTTCTTTCTGGCTGGTTACCTTGGCAGGATCGTGTAATGTCTGGATGGATACATGGCTGGCTTGCTCACTGCGTAACTAATTGTTTGATTTCGGTTGTAAATTATTGTTGTTCTGGCTGTCTGGTCGGCTGCATGGTGAATAGGCTAACTTGCTCGCTGATTGGCTCAATGCTTCGGTGAGTTATATGGTCAGCTGGCTGGGTTCCCTGGATGGCTGGCCAAGTGGCTGGTTGGTTGGCTGGGTGGCTGGCTAGCCTAGTGGCTTGTTTGGTTGACTAGCTCGTTGGGTGGGTGGCTGGCTGGTTAAACGGATTGTCGACGAACTAGCTTGCTGATTGCTTTGCTGAATGATTAGCTGGTTGACTTTAGGTGGATGCTTAGAAGGCTGGCTTTACTGGGTGGCTGGATGGTTGACGCGTTCTCTCACTGGTTCGTTGGTTGAGTGGCTGATGGGATGATTCTCTTGCTCGCCGTCTGCTTTACTGGTTGCTTGGCAGGTTTCATCGAAACCACATTTATGCTCATCTGCCCTCGTGCGGTAGCGATTAGAGATGTGCATGCGTGGCCCCTAGGGTTTGTAGGGAATGGCTTTAACAAATGACGCACATTTGGCGCTGTCACATGTATTCCAACCGATTATATCCTCCCAACAGCGCAGCAATCAAATTCGACGATGTTATTTTCTAGTGTGTACATGAGTACATTTTAAATGCACGTGACAATTTACAGAACCTCTTTTTAGTGGCCGAGTACTCTGCAGAGACGCCACCATGGACTGCACTTTCCACCCCCCTGGCATGCAATGGAATTTTCCAAATGCATTTCCCTGTGTATTTATGCGCTGAAGTACTGTAGTTCTAGAATTGGAATGTTCCGTTCTGACTGAGGTGGAATCGATGTACTGTAGTGAGAAATAATACATTATGAAAATAAAGTATCTTTTGTATTTAAATGTATATTAAAATAATTCAATGTGTGGGTCATGGCTCGAAATTGGTTGCATTTAGCCATGGGGTTAGGGAATTAAGGCCAGGCGTTGTTTAGAGTTAGTAATGGGTTGATTACTAATCGGGGTTATAGTTATTAATCCGTTATTCGAGATCGCATCGGATTAGGGTTCATCACAGGTTAACTCGAGACTTGGGTTTAGAAATGAGTGCGAGGCGTGAGTTAGGATTTGGAGAAGTCATCCGTTAGGCGTTAAGTTAAGAGTAGGGTAGGGTCAACTGTGTATTCGTGTTTAGTCCTTGCTAAATTGTTCTATAATCTCATTATTCGGGAGTGTCCATGTGAAGAGTCGTCAAGGCAAACATGGCGCTCACTATTTAATGTGTTTTGAGAAGTGTGCTGGAATAAACATCTCGGTGCATTTGGTTGTTGGCCGTAAACACGTGTATAGGATGCGGTCCCACCTTTCGAAGGTGAACCCATTGTTGTTTTGCCAGTCGTGATTACGTGGATATCAAAAGGGGTTCTGTACAATCTAGCCTGGTTCATTGCTCGGGTTGAGGGGGGGGGGGGCTCATTAAGCGAACGTTTGAATTTGTACCGTCAAGTGCAACCGGCTGTGCTTGAAGAGCAGCTGACTGGTGTGGCAGAACGTAGCTCCGAGAACCGGCGGCGATTCATGAACTGGCTAAAATCGGGGGCGCGGTGGTGTTTGTGGGGGGCGGGTGCGCAACCCACAACACCCTGGGTGTCGAACTCCTGACGGAGTGAGATGAACCCGAAAGGGCGCTCATGTTGTCTGTCAAGGCAAAACGAAACAAAAAGCGGACGAAAAAAATCAAAAGGTCGTGCAGTAATGGACGGTGGAGTGAAGGCGGATGGCCAGTTGCCGGGGTGAAAAGTGGGCGAGGTTTTGCCAAATCTTGGCCAGCTGGCTCGAAAAGTTCATAAATAGTGGTGGAGCAACCAGCCAGGCACCAGCCATACCCATCGCCCTAACCACGCTTACCAACTAAGCTCCAGAGTCTAGCCCGACTCGCTAAAATATCCAGCCAGACCCTAACCTTACTTCTAACCTCACCTAATTCGCCAGACCATAGCCCGAACTAAAGTGACATGTCCCCCCTTGTCCTAACCCTCGCCACAGGTAACCCTAAACAAACGAACCAACCCCCCTAAACGTGAACAAGCTGATCCCCAACCAACCCGTCCCCCTGACTGCCAACCTCATAACCCAAGGCCCACGCCTGATGAGTCAACCGGCGCCCCCCTCCCCACCCCACCCCATTTAGCTTTCCGATCACTTCCCTTTGTGGTGTCGACACTGCCAAGTTGTTTCCTGCTGCTCGTGACGTGAGTGTATTTGAGTTTGGATCCAGTCCACGTGTGCAATGATGATTCGAGGTCGTGATGTCGGCTTTGAGCAGTACGTGTCACGATTTTACTCGGACTCTTAATAGTGTAACGATGCATCCGTTCGTCGATTTAATATCGACATTTCTCGCTCCGTCGTACATGCATTGGATGTTGTTCGATTTGCATACGTTAAATTGGGCTGCGGTGCGTTCACGTAACCTCCAGCCACGGGATGCCGCTCCGTTCAACAATGTGAAGGGTATAAACAAATTCGACTATCGAGTGAAGAGCGAATCGTTACACCGCTAACGCTCGTTCATGTAAGCGATTGTATGCTCACAAAGCGAACATAGAACTTGATCACGTTGTTTGTACATTAGCTTGCAGCATTCTAATTATTATCGTTGTTATTTTTAATGAAGATGCAACCCGCCCCCCCCCCCCTACGTTGAATAAAGTTCCCATGATGACTTCGTTTGTGTATCGTTGCCGTCAATCGTCCCCTCGTCGTCGTCTGAAACGCCGCACGAACTCCCTCCTGGATCTCTTCTCGTGGTGGGCAGACCTCGACAAAGGCATTCAGCTCCTGAACAGAACACAAACCACTCCCTATTTAGGCATCGCAGTGGAGTGGCGACGCGATGCAGTGCCCGTCTTTGTTCGATGGTTAACAGACGGTCGTTGGATCGTGGTCTTTCAAATGCGCTTCAGGGGCCGTCTGGAACGCTCTTCCCTCCGATATTAGAAAGTCACTGGGCGCTGTGCACTTTTACATAATCTAGATTGAAAATTAATTTCTTCAAAACTGATTTTTGTGTTTAGATTGTTGTCCTTCACCACGCGCATGCGAATAGCACGGTTGGCTACGTACGGTGCGAAAGAAGTTCAACACACCTGGGCAGTGATTAGCGAACGGTGCTATGAACCCGGCGAACCTGAGTTCGATTCCCGACCACGACTAACATCGGTGAGGTAGCGATATCTAAACATCCGTTCTGGGTCCCCCCCCCCCCTCCATACCAGCCCGCACTGAGCAGCGTGGTGAAGTATGGTCAAAAAAAACCTCTGACCAACACGGCGTGGAGAGAGAGAGGCCCCCATGTACGCAGTGAATTGGCAAAAGTGTCGTGCGATGTTGATCCACGCAGGGGCTGCCCCCTATTGTTGATAAGCGGTCACTGTAAGCCAGGGACCCAAACAACTCAACATGTCAACCCCAACTGCTGTACACACCGTGCGTTATATTGACCAAGATCCCCCGTACAGCCTCAACAGGCTGTTGGGGTAAGTGCTGTTTACGAGCGCCGATGAAGACTCGCACGGAACACGAGTGCAGCTGTTTACACGCCTCATCAGGTGCTCAATCGAGGCTGAGTCGACCTAGAGGATGCCCACGACTGGCTCAGATAATCGTCGCTGCTTGGTGTTGGCCGTGAGCGGGACTCAAACTCATGGTGGCTGTAACCGCTGCGACCACTGCTCACGAACTGAGACACGCGAGTCCACGCACTGACTCACTGACACACACGTGCTTCTGACAACGCACTGACACGGGCATTCTGCGGGTCTTCTGATAGACCCACTGACTCACGCACCACGTGATCCCACTGTTAGACACGGAAACCAACGCAAAACACATTCCTGCGGAGGGAGCTGGTAGGAACGTTGGGTTGCTCGGTCAATGGCCAGGGTCAACGGCGGCGTGGTGTATTCCGCAAATATGCCCGACTGTGAGGGCGGGCACAAGTCGGCGTGAGTAGGTTAAAAGTTGAGTTTTATAAGGGTACTATGAGGTGACCAGCCCCTCCCCACCCAGCCCCACCCAAACCCTTTACTATGCAAGTAAAAAATGTGTGTTTAAATATTTACGTTTTTTTTTATTTAGGGCCCCTGTATAACATATGCTACAGACCCCGCACTAACTTAATCCGGCACTGCCAGGCGATGCAGTTCAGGGGCCATCCATTTAGTAGGTCCGCAAAAATCTGTCAAAACTTGACCCCTCCCCCCTCCCTGTTCACACGCGGACTTTTTACACCCCCCCCCCCACCTGCGTACGTACAGCCTGACCCCCCCCCCCCCCCCCGAATCATATAGAACGGCCGATATTTAATCCACGCAGAAACGATGAAGGATGAATAATATTCACGTGTTTAAGCAAACAGATAGTCCACTGCCGGACTATCTAACTCATTTAAAGGCCAATGTAGACAAATTATTGTCGAGTCTTCACCCCCCCTTCCCCGTGTCCTATGCGTACGCACATTGTCAGTAGACCCTCTCCCCCCTCCATGCGTACGTACTCAATGGATGGCCCCTAACATGTCGCCTCCAAGTAGCGAGATGCGAGAAGCGAGGTGAGGTGGGCAAGACCCAGTGCATGGAGGAAGAAAGGCAAGTGTCGTCAGTCTGGGACCTGAACAGGGCCAAGGGATTGACAGACAGAGTGGGCAGCATAAGAGAAGGAGCGACCTCCCACTGACTCTACGCCACATGCCCGTGGCCAGGTGTGCGTGAGTGTCGCTTGTCTCGTGCGCAGTTCTTGCGTGGAGCGGTGGCGCAGTGGCGAGCGCGCTGCGATACAAACCCCCCCACCGTGTCTTGGGCCTCTCCTAGGTCGACTCAGCCTAAAATGAGTATCCTGCGTGCGGTGCGTAAACATCGTCGCTCGGGAGACAAAGGCGGCCGGGCGTGGTTGCTGGCCACCCACCCCCTCGTGTGCCGTGCCGGCCTTCATAGGTGCTCGTCGCTAACAGCACTTGGCCCCAAACAGTTCGTTACAGGCTATACGGGGCCGTCTTTGTCTTTTTGTTGTTTTTGTGAGTGGATATTCTTGGTTCTGTCGGTAAAGTCACGTAGATAGAAAAAAAAAAAAATTGTGAGTGGAGCTTGGCGCTCGTGGCCGTTTCATCCCCTCTCGCCGTCCCAAACATTCACACATAGCAACTCCTGACGTCCCGACGAGCTATAAACAGCCTCGTGATGGGGGTCGGGGGTAGAGGATGAGCGTAAGGGAGCAGCTGCCGACACAGATCGAGAGCAGTGTTCCAGTGACACTCCCAGCGGGCTCCGTCGAGAGCGTTAGGAGACCAGAAAATCTCAGCCTGGAGTTCGTTTTTGCGTTGCGGCGGCTCTGCCTGACATTTTAAGGTTTGTGTTTAATAGACAGAGAGAGATTGACAGAGGTTGAGTGTGGAGGAGAGAGAAGACAGTGAGCCACAGACAGGCCGGGTTGAATTGGCGAGACACTGAGACAGTGCGTACAGAGAGAACGAGAGAGAGACACACATTGACAGGGCCCTGAAGGAGTGACCGAGGGAATCTTGAGAGAGAGAGAGAGAGAGGAGGGATTTGAAGAACAGAGATCGTTCGACACATACCAAACAGAAACACAAAGAGACTCACACATCGAGTCTTGATAAGTTTACACAGACAATGAGAGCATTTTGAGAGATAGACACAGACGCCCATTATTATAGAGACACACGCAAAGATAGACACCCATAGATAAACTCACAAAGGAGGAGGAAACGGCAGAGAAGCTCAGAGAGGACAGAAAGAAACAGGAAGTGAGGATAGGGAGAGACAGAGATACAGGAGAGTAAAGGAGAGACAAGGAGAGGCAGGTGAGGCAAGAGAGTCAGGGAGAAGAGGCCATGGACTTTAGTCCGGGATTCCGGGATGCGCAGGCGATGGACAATCTTGAGAAGCAGCTGACGTGTCCCATCTGCCTGGAGATGTTCACCAAGCCCGTGGTGATCCTTCCGTGTCAACACAACCTGTGCCGCAAGTGCGCCAACGACATCTTCCAGGTGCGGAGCCCATCCATCATCTTGGCATTACAGTCGATTCGTGGATCTTAACCTGGGGTGCAGGCATCCCCTGGGGATGAGAGATGCTCTTTCTGGGAGTTGGGGGGGTGCGAGACATGGGCAGATTTATTTATTTAGAAGGTAAATCGTCGAAACACAAATTAAGGACGGGCGCGTAAGTACAACTACTTTGTTTCATCAAACATGTGTATTTATTCACATTGTAAAGCATATTCTTGGTTCTTTCGGTAAAGTCACGTAGAAGGGAAATAATAAAATATTTGTTTTTAAACAATGAAATTCTCACGACGTTTCGATTGCAACACAATCAATCATCATCAAGTGTGAAAACCACAGCAAGAAATTTTGAAAAAAGGGGCGGTTTTTTTCTTAACGTCAGCACCACGGACAACGTTGAGAAAAAACCGCCACTTTGTTCAAAATGTATTTCTGTGGTTTTCACACCTGATGACGATTGCTTGTGTCGCAATCGAAACGTCGTGAGTATTTTATTGTTTTATTTTTTATTATTTCCCTTCTACATGACTTTACCGAAAGAACCAAGAATATGAATCCCTGCAGTCACGAAAGCTTTACATCGGAATTGTAAAGCATGTTAACGATTGAGAAACCAAAGGGGTGCACGTCTGCAGTAGAGGTGAAGTTCCACTGCAAGGTGATCATCGATTACCCGGCGGCAACGGGCGTGGGAAGGATAATCACGAAATGATTATATATATATAAAAAATTTTGGCAAATTCTTGCGTAACATTATGTTTTAGGTGTTGTGTCTATGTGTTTTGTGTGTGTGTGTGTTTTAAATGTGTTTACGATGTGAAATTGGCATAAACAAACATGAAAATAGACAACAACCAAATCTCCTGCTGTATACAGTTACCGTATTTACTGTACCGTACTTACCACGAACATCTCGAAGATTCTGCACGGCGTGATGCTGTGCCTAGTTTACTACTACTACGACTACTACGACGACACAAACTTTACACGAACTGTGTTTGACTTTAGAGCGGTTTCGCCGGATCGACCCGGGACCGTCGGATAACGTTGGAAACAGCCGAATAATCGATGGTCAAACTCTATTGACGATTTAATAAGTGGTAGGCTTTCGCGACCAATATTATCCATAATAGAAGAGGTGTTTGGGGGGGGTTAGATCGCGTCGGTACGGACCGAAACAGGAGGATTTCTCCTGTTTCCTGAAACGTCGTAGTTTTGTGTTATTTTCTTTTAACCTATCTACGTCACTTTACCGAAAGACCCAAAGAATATGAATAGGAGGAGTTCTCGACAACTCTGCCTGGCCTCCTGGTGACGCTAGTTGTCGTTGTTGTAATTACCGGCGAAATGTCACGGTACTAGAATTGCAAACGTTGCAGTGGGTTTACTCTCCAACACACAACCGGTGTGCTGGACTAGTAACGAATTGCCTTGTTTTGTTTGTGTGACAAATCTTACTAATTGACTGTGTCGGGTGGTGTCGGGTTTAATGACAACAAAGTGGACAAGGATCGCCCTAATAGTATTTAACAGGCTGTTGGGGCAAGTGCTGGGAACGAGTAGCACCTATGAAGGCCAGCTCGGCACACGAGGGGGTGGGTGGACAGCACCACGCCCGGCCGCCTTTGTTTCTCCAGTGGCGATGTTTTTTTTTAACATCGCACCAGGTACTCATTTGAAGCTGAGTCGACCTAGGGGAGGCCCAGAACCGATTCAGATGATCAAATCCGGCGCTCCGAGTTCGTAGCGCAGTGCGCTACACTACCGCTCCACACAGATACATACGCACATACACACACGCGTACACGTTACGCAAGATTCCACCTGGGCTGTCACACCACTGACATTGTTCAGGTGGTTGGTGTGGAATGCAGCCTTGCTGTCATCACCGCATGTACTCTCAGTTTCAGTTTTTTCAGTTTCATTTATTTGGTATAGCCCTGTGAGCCATTCGGCTCTTGAATCGGGTGCAACCGCAACGAACAAAAAACAAAAACATGAACAAGACAACATCTTAAAGTGACTAAGTGCAAACAGAAAAATCCAGGAAAAAACTGCAGTCTTCCAAAAAAAAGCAACCGTACACCAACACTGTGCAAAAATTCCAATGAGATGCAAGTCAAACAACAACAACAACAACCACACGACAACTTAGATTAAAGCCATCATTCTAACTCCGTACTAAAACAAACAAACATGGCCAAACCAAAAAACTTTTCGAAATCACCAAAATAAAGCCATAAAAGCAATGTAACAGTGATCATAGGAACTGTGACCGAAATTTCACAATAATCGACGTAAACAACATGTACCACCAAACCCTGTAGCCATAGCTGGCTGCATGAGTCACTCCACAACAGCAGGCGCATCTCAGTGCGTGGGTACATGTGCAGTACTATACTGAAAGTAAGATGCAGACGTGGGGTCAGGTACATGACAATACTGAACTACTAAGTTGTGTTTTATTTTCAGAAGCCACCTGGCTACAAATTGATAGCTCTGGAAGTGGCTTATCATGTGCAAATGCATGGCAGCCAAATATTCTAAACGCATGTTTCTAAATGCGCGCTTCTGGGGTGTTACAAAAGCACGTGTTATCATGTACAGCACATGCGTACGTATGTTTAACTTCTTTCGCACCGTACGTAGCCCAACTGTTATAATCGGCACCAGACCCGGCCGCCTTTGTGTCCCCAGTGCTCACGTTACACACTGCAGCGATGAATGTACTCGTGTCATGTTCAGTCGATCTCGGCTTCTGGGGAATGCCAGTGTGGGTACATTATTACACACACCCACACGTCTTTTGTTTAGCATTTGGAAAGCATTGTTCAAGTGTGCCTGGGTTCAAACGAAAATTCCACATTCTTACGGCAAATAAATATATGCATAGGTCCAACCACACTGCATGGCCACCTCCTACAAAGTGGCACCAATCATTCCTCTGGGCATCGATACAATTATAACCCATTTATTGGAAAGTCTTGTTGTGGTCAGTTTCTAAACTCGTCTGCCTGCGTCAGTAAGAATAGTTTCTGGGGGACGTAATTGAATACATGTTGCTCAAGATCCGTGAACTCACGTGACCTTTACGCGTGCAATAGACTCGTCTGTACCCTCGTATATACAACGGTTTTCATGGGTGCCACGGTAGCGACATCTTAACTACCTCGCCTGGTCTACAGGAGGTCGTGGGCTCGATCCCGACCCTGACGCCTGCTGTGTATTTGGAGTTTGCGTGTTATTTTATTTTTATCCGGGTTCTCCGGTTTTCCTCTCCACATTTAGAATCAACGTGCGTTCAGAGTATTTGGCTGCTATAAATGTCCACGTGATGATAAGCCACTTCGTTGAGCTCTCATTTGTGGCCAGGCCGCTTCTGAAAAAGAGCTATCTAGCTCAGCGGGCCTTACTTGGTCAAATAAATGTAAATAAAGTTAGTTAAAAGTTCATATTCTTAGGTTTTTTTCGGTAAAGTCACGTAGGTAAAACAATCTAAATTAATAAAAGTAAAATAAAAATAAAATAAAAATCACGACGTTTCGGAGGCAACACAAGCTTCCGTCGTCAGGTGGAACCGTCACAGCACGCTTGCTGTAATCAAGTAAATCTCTCATTTAATTTCTCATTTACTTGATTACAGCAAGCGTGCTGTGACGGTTCCACCTGAAGACGGAAGCTTGTGTTGCCTCCAAAACGTCGTGATTTTTATTTAATTTTATTTTTACTTTTATTAATTTAGATTTTTTTACCTACGTGACTTTACCGAAAAAACCTAAGAATATGAATACTTGCAGTCACGAACGCTTCAAATCTAGAATTAGTTAAAAGTTATTTGAAAGTGACGGGTTTGCTAATGGCGTTCATACTGGCAATGCCACAGAGGCACTGAGCCAGAACGACTGAGACCCTGGTCTTGGTCCCTTGGCTGGGTTCGGGTGTCTCTCTTTGTCTCTCTCACGGATCCACAATGGCTGCGTGAGAGACACTGGAGCCGGCGCGGCTAAGATCCTGCGATCAAATCGAGGTTTCAGCCACCCGGGATTGAACCGGGTCGACACTACTCACTGGATGTCCTCGATGTGAGGACATCTGGTGAGTCGAGCTCACGAGCCTCTGGTGGTCCCCATCCACCGCATTGTCTGTGGTAGGACTCCTGTTAAGTGGAGGAGGCCAATAGTCAGAATGTGGCAATGGCCAGAATGTGGCTATCGCCTGATGCGGCTGGTTGTAATCACCAGCGAAACGTCGTACTCAAATTGTAAATGTTGTGGTTCCACGCTTCAACACACCGGTGGACTAAAGCAGTGAACTATTTGTCTTTTGTCAACGTGACACTTTTTTACTGATTGGCCGTGTCGGGTGGTGGAGGGTTACGACACATTTATAAATAACGCGATCTAAACCCCAAAACGTTGATTATGAATGATATTGGTCGCGAAAGCTTACGTGTTATACGTGACAAACCTTACTAATTGACTATGGCGGGTGGTGGTGGGTTTAACGACGCATTTATATTTACGCGACCTAACCCAAAAACACCTTCATTATGGGAAAGACACTTTAACTATGGATAATATTGGTTGCGAAAGCCGACGTCTCCTGCATTGGGCAATTGGGGCAATTTCGTTGCTAAGGATCGTTTTTTTTTTATGAAAAAAGCAACTCAACTGTTGGGTGTTTCTTTTTGTGTGTCTGTTGTGGTGTTAGAGAGTGCCGTTCAACGTGTGAAAGTGTGTAGTGTGTGCTCGTGTGTGTGTGTGAATCAGAGTGTGTGTGAATCAGAGTGTGTGTGAATAAGAGTGTGTATGACCGTGTGAGTGTCAACGTGAGTGTGAGTGCGTCCATTGTGAGTGAGTCCATGGCAGTGCGTGCAGCAGTAGTAAGTGAGACAGGAGAAGTACTTGTACACAAAATAAACACGCGGTCTTCAAGTCAATTAAACGAGTCGTAAAATCACAGCCGCACAACACCGGCGAGTGGCCGCTACAGAAAGACGCTTACATCTTGGAAGGTGCTAAAAGTGTGTCGACTAACCGCCGAGGTTGTAATAGGTCGCGCTATTTCCCCGACTTCCATCCCAATTATTTTTGAATGGACATAAAATCCAATTTCTCCAAGCAACTTTCGTCCGAATGATAAAACAGGCGTTAAGATGTTCAAACACACAAATAAGATAACATTTTGCAAGGCTTCACGTCTTCATTAACCACACGTACTTGTGGCGAAATATATGCAAACAAACAACCACTGATAATCTTGATTTGAAGCTGATAATATTTGCATTGTCCTTGAAACTGATTGGCCTGCACCAGAGACGGCCTTCTTGGTGGCCTCGCCTCGCCAGTGTTAGACCAGAGAACGCCAAGAGGCGAACAAAACAAAGATAATGTACGTATCAGAGTATGTATAGCTCGGGGTAAGCGGCTATATCGTGGGACCTTTTCGGCCACCATCAAAAACGATGATAAATAACAACATAGATCTTTGCCCTTTTCTGGCAATAAAAGAGCGACACTTATTCCGAATGATGACGATGACAAATTTGGGAGACTTGGCGATAAGCGTTGGGAGAAGAGATTCTCTGGATTAAACGTGGGGGGGTGGGGGGGCAGGGGGGGGGGCACGAGATTCCATCTCCTCCCCTCTCCGCTACGGAATGCGCTCGATTTAGCTCGGAGTTAGACCGCCGTCCGCTGCCACGCCGACTAAATTTGGACGGCGCAAATCTCGGGCAGCCGACGATAACCCCGGACCCCCCCCCCCCCAATGCTCCCCCCCCTCCCCCCCGTCCTTTACAGCTCCCCTCCCTGCCCCCACCGCTCACAATGAGTCGGGCATTAGCATGCGGCGTGACGATGTTAATGTCATCACCCTTTGTTTTAGCCACGGTTACAGTGGCTTCAGAGATGCTGTATTGGTTTTTTTCCACGACAGATGTGTTTTTTTAATTTGATGGACTTCATGAGCCACTCTGGAAGAGTGGAGAGGTCGACGTTGGTGCTAAGAGATGGGTGTGTGTGAGCTTGGTGGTTGCTAAGAGATGGGTATGTGTGAGCCTGGTGGTTGCTAAGAGATGGGTGTGTGTGAGCCTGGTGGTTGCTAAGCGATGGGTGTGTGTGAGCCTGTGGTTGCTAAGAGATGGGTGTGTGTGAGCCTGGTGGTTGCTAAGCGATGGGTGTGTGTGAGCCTGTGGTTGCTAAGAGATGGGTGTGTGTGAGCCTGGTGGTTGCTAAGAGATGGGTGTGTGTGAGCCTGGTGGTTGCTAAGAGATGGGTGTGTGTGAGCCTGGTGGTTGCTAAGCGATGGGTGTGTGTGAGCCTGTGGTTGCTAAGAGATGGGTGTGTGTGAGCCTGGAGTTTGGTGGTTGCTAAGAGATGGGTGTGTAGTGAGCCTGGTGTTTGCTAAGAGATGGGTGTGTGTGAGCCTGGTGGTTGCTAAGCGATGGGTGTGTGTGAGCCTGTGGTTGCTAAGAGATGGGTGTATGTGAGCCTGGTGGTTGGTGGTTGCTAAGAGATGGGTGTGTGTGAGCCTGGTGGTTGCTAGGAGATGGGTGTGTGTGAGCCTGGTGGTTGGTGGTTGCTAAGAGATGGGCGTGTGTGAGCTTGGTGGTTGCTAAGCGATGGGTGTGTGTGAGCCTGGTGGTTGCTAAGAGATGGGTGTATGTGAGCCTGGTGGTTGGTGGTTGCTAAGAGATGGGTGTGTGTGAGCCTGGTGTTTGCTAAGAGATGGGTGTGTGTGAGCCTGGTGGTTGCTAAGAGATGGGTGTGTGTGAGCCTGGTGGTTGCTAAGCGATGGGTGTATGTGAGCCTGGTGGTTGGTGGTTGCTAAGAGATGGGTGTGTGTGAGCCTGGTGGTTGCTAGGAGATGGGTGTGTGTGAGCCTGGTGGTTGGTGGTTGCTAAGAGATGGGCGTGTGTGAGCTTGGTGGTTGCTAAGCGATGGGTGTGTGTGAGCCTGGTGGGTGCTAAGAGATGGGTGTGTGTGAGGCTGGAGTGATGTACACTGTTCTGTGTTTCCATACGAGAGTAACTCGTCTGGCTCGAGTCATCTCTGTCCCTATATCACTCTCTCTGTGTCACACTGCTACCGCCGCTGTCATTCGGCCCCACGTCTTTAGTTTGATGGTGACCCAAGGCAAGAGGACCACAATGCAGTTCCTCGACAATTCGGGCTTTGCGGTGTTCAGTGTTCTGGGTGCTGCTTGAATATTTGAGGCTGTTTAAAGTCAAAGTCAAACTTACGATGGCGTTTGTCATTAGTATTCTCTGGACTTTGGCTGTTGTCAGGAGCTTAAGTGTTTACTGGCAAATACATTTGTATCCTTCTTATCAATTCCTCCAAACGGGTGGCAGCGCGGTTCGCAGCGTTCGGCGTTTTGAGACGCAATTGACGTGAACGGCGCTGTTTGATAACGGAAAAATATAACACGATTAAAATCATTATGATTATCCGCCTATGTTTTTTGCGCATCACGCACGAAGACCGACTTCGTTTTGTACACGTGTCTGTCTATCCGTGGCTTTTTTTGTGAATTATATTTTTTCCCGGCCTACAATTGTTTTTATGGCATGAAGGATTTTCTCGTTTTGGATAAAAAAATCACGACCACGTTGTGGGAAAACGAGAATGCGGAATTGCCTCCAGCAGAGATGAGCAGAGAGAGATGCTTAATATAAAGTATTAATTACTTTATATTATCCAGGAAAGCTTCACCAAGTCTCGGGACTTGTTTTTTCACGAGGGTCTTGCATTGCAATGTTTGGCCAATCAATTTTTTTTTATTTTGTGCGGAAGGAAAAGTGAAACGTCCGGAGAAAATTCCGGACACAAGAGGAGATCCCAATCACATACCCACACCGATACGTTAGCATCCTACATGCTGCACTGCACTCTCTATGCATTTGCCTCGTATTCTCTCCGAAACTTCTCTTTGCACGTCTTACTATTTCTCACCTTGCCCGTCTCGTTTGTCTCATGTCTTCCGTGTCACTCCATCCCCCGTACTCTTTGTTTTTTTCGGTAAAGTCACGTAGGTAAAACATAAAATGAATGAAAACGCTTAAGCGGTTTGTGCTTTCGCTACGTTGTCCCCACCTGAAGAAGGACGCTTGTGTTGCGCCCGAAACGTCGTGATTTAATTTAGTTGTTTTCATCAATTTAATTAAAATTTGTACCTACGTGACTTTACCGAAAAAACCAAAGACTATGAATCCTCGCAGTCACGAAAGCTTCAAATCCATCCCCTGTCTCTGTCTCATGCCCCTCGTCTCCCGACGTCGAAATACGTATCTTGCCTCAATTCCTCTGTCTCGCTGTGTCCCATATCTCCAGGTCTCTCCTCGTCTCTCCACGTCACCGCATATGTCTCCCTGTCTTCTTGTGTTCCATATCCTGGCTCCCTTTCTAAATCCCTCAACCAATGTCTTGAGCTCTCTCGCTGTCTCCCGCTGTCTCCAATATCCCCAGGCTCCACGTGTCTCTCCTTATCGCCCTCGTGTCTCCACGTCCAATATCCCCCGTCTCCCTCCACTCTCCGTCTCTTTCTCCCGGTACCTTCACGTCTCTTCCCTATCGCTCGAGATTCCAAGTCCGCTGTTTCCCCGTCTCTCTCGAAACAAAGACAAAGGTCCTCCGTGTAGCCTTAACAGACTGTTGGGGCAAGTGCTGTTAGCGTGCACTTATGGAAGCCGGCACGGCACACAAGGGGGTGGGTGGCCAGCACCACGCTTGACCACCTTTGTCTCCCTAGTGGCGATGTTTACACACCGCACCAGGTACTTATTTAAGGCTGAGTCGACCGAGGGGAGGTCCGGGACCGGTACAGATAATCGTCGCGGGTGTTGGCCGTGAGCGGGAATCGAACTCGGGCCGCCGGGTTCGTCGCGCAGCGCGCTAACCGTTGCACCACCGCTCCCCACATCTCGTACAGGCGTCGAACCCGTTCTGGCAGTCTCGGAGCTCGGGCGTGGGCTCCGGGGGTCGCTTCCGATGCCCGTCGTGCCGGCACGAGGTGGTGCTGGACCGACACGGGGTCTACGGCCTCCAGCGCAACCTCCTCGTGGAGAACATCATCGACATCTACAAGCAGGAGTCCACCAAGTGCGGGACAACCTCATCATGCACATCGTCCATTCACTCACTCACTCACTCGTCCATTGCACAGACCGTGAACTCAATTTCTCAATGCCTTATTCTTTCATTGACTCGTGGAGAACACCATCGACATCTACAAGCAGGAGTCCACCAAGTGCGAGACAACCTCATCATGCACATCGTTCATTTAATTTCGATTTAAAGCTTTCGTGACTGCAGGGATTCATCTTCTTGGTTCTTTCGGTAAAGTCACGTAGAATGGAAATAATAAAATAAAACAAATAAAACATAATATTATTACGTTTAAAAATTATTACGTCGAGGCAGCAACGTGGCCACAGCCCCACAACTGACCACATAACCGTGGTTTTAGAGTTTTTATTTTCTTAAATTTGGTTTTAAATTCGGGTCGTGAACAACTTAGACACACCGCATTGTTACGCATCAAACGATGGGAACTATGGTGGTTGATGTTCTGTTTTCTTTCAAGCTGTTTCTGGTTTTCAGAATTGTAATTATAGACGCAAGTTATGTTGTCGATTTAGAAAAAAAAACTCTCGTTGCTTGTTGTGAGCATGCTCCTCAACTGCCCCGAGCAATCGGCAGAGGAAGCGTATTTGAGTGCACATTCTGCTTGTGCCACCCAGGCACATGACCTTGTTTCGCAATGCACTTTGTAAATATGTCACCCAATATGTTGGCGCGGCGGCCTTAGCTACACTTTGTAAATGCGCTCACCCAGGCAGATGACACACTCGCAATGGGTACACTTTGTGAATGTGTCATCCATGGCAGGTGGGGCATTGCCTTGCGGCTGCACTTTGTTTACGTGCCAGCCACACGGATGCCATTCTCTTTGGCTGCAATCTTAATTTTAGAACTTTCGTGACTGCAGTAAATGATTATTTGGTTCTTTCGGTTAAGTCACGTCTAAAGATAAAATAATAAATTAAATTAAATAATAGCATACGACGTTTCGATTGCAACACAAGCAATCATCATCAGGTATAATGAAATAGCGACATAAAATCTAACCAGAAAACTATAGACAGACATATTAGCAGACAGATATCACCAAGATACATAGAGGGAGCAACACAGGAACCAGAGAGGGGTGATCATCTCTGTGGGGTGGCCTTAAATAGACAGAGGGGGGAGGAGGCAGAGAGAGGGAGGGGGTTAGAGAAAACATTTGCATATCAATGAGTGGTCCAAAAACAAGGTTCTGCAAGTGCGATGACACGGCAAGCAAGTCTGAAAATCAGAAGGACAAACTAAAATTCAATAACCTGTGTTGTATTACATTACATTTCGATATTTTGCTAGGTTATTGAATTTTAGTTTGTCCTTCTGATTTTCAGACTTGCTTGCCGTGTCATCGCACTTGCAGAACCTTGTTTTTGGACCACTCATTGATATGCAAATGTTTTCTCTAACCCCCTCCCTCTCTCTGCCTCCTCCCCCCTCTGTCTATTTAAGGCCACCCCACAGAGATGATCACCCCTCTCTGGTTCTTGTGTTGCTCCCTCTATGTATCTTGGTGATATCTGTCTGCTAATATGTCTGTCTATAGTTTTCTGGTTAGATTTTATGTCGCTATTTCATTATACCTGATGATGATTGCTTGTGTTGCAATCGAAACGTCGTATGCTATTATTTAATTTAATTTATTATTTTATCTTTAGACGTGACTTAACCGAAAGAACCAAATAATCTTTGGCTGCACTTTCTAAATATGCCACCGAGGATGACAACACATCGTCCTTGGGTGCACTTTTCCACATGTGTCACCTACCCTGGTCACTTCACCGCCATTGCCCTGACCCTCACCCCAATCTCCCCCTCCTCCCCCTCTTCCCCCACCCCCATGCACTTGGCAGGCCCATGAAGAAGACGGACCAGCCGATGTGCGAGGAGCACGAGGACGAGCGGATCAACATCTACTGTATCACGTGCGGCGTGCCCACCTGCTCCATGTGCAAGGTGTTCGGGGCTCACTCGGGATGCGAGGTGGCGCCACTGGGCACCGTCTACAAGAAGCAGAAGGTGACTTACATCTGTGGGTTGGGGGTAGAGGGGTGCCGGACTGGCTGGTGCGGGTAAGGGGGCTGGGGGCCGCGGGGTTGTGGGCCAAGGGGCGCTGATTGTGAATGTGTCACAGGTCACAACAACGCCCCCCTTACGATCAATCAATGGATTCTGGGTCATCCAGTTTGCTCCCACACCAAGCCCAACACTCGTTCGTGGCAATGACCAAGTGTCTCAATGTATATTGAACTTATTTCGCACCGCACGTAGCCAACCGTGCTAATCGGAGGCGCTGGGGAAGGACAGTTCTCAACAAAGGTAACAGGGACCCTCCTGACAAAGCGTCTTGAGGCTCAGTGTGAGGCTGCCCTGGGTAATTAAAGACCATGATCCTTCAAACGAGATTCGAAGCTTTCGTGACTGCCGGAATTACTCTTTGGTTCTTTCGGTAAAGTCACGTAGAAAGAAATAAAATTAGATAATAATAGAATACGACGTTTCGATTGCAACACAAGCAACCATCATTAGGTACGAATGAATGAGAAAACAAACATAGTAAACTTGGAAATATAATGCAATACAACACAGAGAGTCGGCCAACACAAGAGTCAACACCCCACCTGGTTGATTACGTTCTTCCAAAGATTGCTAAATTTGAGAGAGAGACAAAAAAACATAAATACGGAGACACACAGACAGACACACAAGCAGAGAGAGACACACACATAGGCATACAGGGGGTGGAGCGGTCGCGCAGTGCTTAGCGCAGTGCATTATGAGCTTGTTTTTCCCACTGAAGGCCAACTCCGTGGTGAGTGATATCCGAACCCGTTCCTGGCAAATTACTACCCGATTCAGCAACCCACACCGACCACCTCCGATTAGCACTGTTGACTTGGTACGGTGCGAAAAAAGTTCAACATACATACATGAGTTTTAACACGTAGGCTTTCGCGACCAATATTATTCATAATCAACGTTTTTGGGTTTAGATCGCGTTATTTATAAATGTGTCGTAACCCTCCACCACCCGACACGGCCAATCAGTAAAAAAGTGTCACGTTGACAAAAGACAAATAGTTCACTGCTTTAGCCCACCGGTGTGTTGAAGCGTGAAACCACAACATTTACAATTTGAGTACGACGTTTCGCTGGTTATTGCATCCAGCATCATCGGGCAAAAAACGTTGATTATGAATACAAACATGCGTGGTCAAATGGTCAAACAGTTCCCTCCAGCTGCACGACATTGCGAGGCCCTCATCCAGCAGTGGTTTTCGCAAAGGTTTGCACATCCCATCGCGTCAATGAGTAGGCTATCAATCTCTCCCCCCCCCCACCCTGTTCACACCCACCACATTTCTGCCGGTCGCGTGCCACGCGCAGGGCGACCTGAGCGACGGGATCGCCCTGCTCGTCGCCGGGAACGACCGCGTGCAGGCGGTCATCGGACAGATGGAGGAGACCTGCAAGGCGCTGGAGGTGCCGTCGCAGTCCACGTTTTATTCGGCGTTGCCGACTCGTCTCGGAAACGCGTTTGTCTTTTCTTTTGTAATCTTCGAATGTTTTCGTTCGAAAGTTCTGCTCTGCTTGGCTTCGCGTCGTAAAAAAATAAATTATTCGTCTGGAGGTTTTTGCAGTAAGCAGCACCTTGCCCCATGCGCTAATGTTCCGCGAAAGGAGATATCAGAGATTCCATTGAGATCCCTTCAAGTCACCTTTTTAAGCCACACCCGTAGGGAGTAATGTAATTTTTCGCATGCCCTAGCCACAGGGAAACCACAACAAAACTACTTTTTATTTTACTAGGTAAAGCCCACTGAACTATTAACTCTTTTTCAGAGGCGACCTGGCCACAAATGATAGCTCAAAGAAGTGGCTTATTATGTGGAAATTTATAGCAGCCAAATAATCTAAATGCATGTTTCTAAATGAGAAAAAAACCACGCGACAACGGGGAGAATATGCAAACTTCAAATAGACAGGCGTCAGGGTTGAGATCAAACCCACGACCTCCTGCAAACCAGGCAAGGTAGATAACATCTCGCCGATATTTTAAATTCGCAGAGAAAGAAAATATCCAAATTAGGTGACAAAGCATTGTCACTTAGTGTCTACAAGAAAATTTCATCACACTCAGAGCCAGGATTCAAACTTAGAATATCAGTGGTAGCTGTTCAATATCTTTGACTCGGATATTATGAATCCACCGAGAGATACACCCAGACCCAGGACTCAAACCCAGAACATCATCAGTGTCTCGGATAGAGCCATTCTGAACTCGTGAGAATGCCAAAGAAAGACACCCAGACCCAGGACTCCAACCCAGAATCATTGCCAACTCCCATTACTGCTAAATCAATGTCATTACAAATCCACCAAGAAACCAGGACCCAGTGCTTGAACTCAGAATCTCATCTGTACGAGCTCATCACTTCCAACATGGCCATTATGGAACCCCTGTGTTGACTTTTATCTTCTTGGTTCTTTCGGTAAAGTCACGTAGAAGGGAAGTAATAAAATAATACAAATAAAACATAATAAAATAATTCTCACGACGTTTCGGCCACAACGCAAGCAGCCGTCCTGTGTTGACTCTTCCATCTCCTGCAACTTCTCCTTCGACCTTTCACCTCACCGCCACCCCCCACCCCCCACCTCTTTCGCAGGCGAACAGCCGCCGCCAGAAGCAGATGCTGTGCGAGCAGTTTGACGGGCTGTACGCGGTGCTGGAGCACCGCAAGCAGGAGATGCTGCAGGCGGTGACGCGCGAACAGGACGAGCGCATGCAGCGCCTGCGCACGCACATGCGGCAGTACGGCGAGCACCTGGAAGTGGCCTCCAAGCTCGTGGAGAACGCCCTGCAGTCCATGGAGGAGCCCGAGATGGCACTCTTCCTGCAGGTGAGTAAGCGGCGTCTTCTCAATCTTTCAACAACAACATCTTCGTCGTCGTCACCATCATCAGCCAGCAGCCGTGACGCTGTCGAGCTTGCTGGCCCGTCCAACCGCACCGAGTCGTCCCACGCGCCGGGCAACGAAGTGGGGGGGTAAGGCAAGCGGTGGGGAAGTGGGGGGGGGGGGTCCAATTTCATTCCTTTCACCACAGGGCTCATGCCTACCATGCGAGGCCACGGGCATCAGCCATGATCTACCCGCTGTGGAATGAAGGCCACCACAAGCCGTCACCGCCTTGCACAGTCACCGGATGTAACGCATGACCTGGGTCACCGCGATGGCTATGAGATGTTAACTCCCTCGCCTGCTGTGCAGTAGGTCGTGGGTTCGATCCAGACCCTGACACCTGTGTATTTGGAGTTTGCACGTCTCTCTTTCCGTGGTCTCGTGGATATTTCTCCGGGTCCTCCGTTTTTTTCTCTCCATATTTAGAAACATGCGTTGAGAGCATTTGACTGATATACATTTCCACGTGATGAGGCACATGGTCGAGCTATCATTATGTGGCCAGTTCGCTTCTTATGAAGAGCTATAGAGCTCAGTGGGCCTTACCTGGCAAAATCAAAAATATTTTTTTTAAGTTTAGTTTATAACAAACCCACCTATCTCTACAATCCACCACAGTCCTGCACATGAGCCGATCTCGTCATCGTTTCATCTCCGCGGTCGATGTCTTCTCACTGCTGCCCAAAGTGCCATTACCCTGCTTTGCAGGCAGTATGATCTCTGTAACTCGAATTTGTTCTCTGAACTATGTGTGTCCGGGTGTGTTTGTGACTCAGCGTAAATATATCGCCTCGACGTTACTTAATTTATGTTCATCTTTTCCTCAGTAGCATTGTGGTGTACCTTTCTAATCCCTGCTGGTACCCTTTGCAAGTATTTATTGTATCAATATCATCCAACGAAACTTATTGATTGCGTCTTCAAATTTTGTGTGTGTTTTGTCTCTTATCAGAATGCCAAGCCACTCATTCAAAAGTAAGTATATCTTAAGTGTTATTCATAATGATGATGATTATGACCATAATACTGGTAATGGATAGTCATGATAACAATGATGATGATGATAATGAGAAAGACTACAAATATAATAACAACAATCACGATGGTGATGATGATGTTATGTGATGTGATTATAACGCTGCTGCTGTTGCTGGTGATGATCATAGTGATGTCATAGATCTTTAAGATTAAACCAATGATATTCACAATCACGTAATAATAAGAGTGATGACTACAACGATGTAGATCACACTCAACAAATGACAATTCCGAAAAAAAAATGCAACTATATAGCGTCTAAATGCAATTTAAAGGGTGAAATGGTGGGGCGAGGTAGGGGGTGGTGGGGGCTGGTCAGGGCAGGGAGACATGAGAGAGCAACACCACGGCACTGCTAACGGTCATCAATAAACAATAATGTCAATCGTGATGACGCGAGTGGTGATCCAACAATCATTCTGATGACGACGACGACGATGATGTTGTTGATGGTGAGACGACGTGACGAGGGTTAGGAGATAATTGTTTTTTTACCCTTCTATCTGGCAACAAAACTGACACCTTTTTTTACAAGGAGTCATGTTTGCATAGACCACAATACCTGCAGTCATAATGCTAACAAAAAACATAGCTCTGATAATGTGCACTGTCCTTGAAGTTGATTGGTCCACACCCGAGACAGCTTTCCTTAGAGCCTAGTCTCACATGGGTTGGACCAGATGACGCCAAAAGGCGCACAACTCAAAGACAATGCACCATCAGAGTATGAGAGCTCGGGGTAAGCAGGGTGGCAAATGAGGTTCCAATGGTGAGGGTTAGGAGGTTGGCCCATTTCTCGACGCCGGCCGTGTTTCTCCACGCAGGATCATCGAGTCGTCCCAGGCGACCCACATCCAGAAGATGGAGCCGGGCTTCGAGAACATGGACCGATTCATGGCCAGCTTCGAGCAGGAGGAGGCCCTGCTGAGGAGGATCACCTTCCTGAGCAGTGCGTAGAGCACGGTCACGTCCCCTCCCCTCTCCTCGCCGTAGCAGACCTGGTGGTCTCACCTCTCTCGTCCATCGCCCGTATTCCCTTCGCTGTAAGGGATGACGGAATTGGTGGCGATGGAACAGCAGCCGAACGAGCGAGCACTGCCAGAGATGGAACGACGCAATAAGCGTCTGTGCAGGAGCGGAATGGACTTACGGCATCTCGAGACCACGGTGGAGGGTGAATATGTTGCCAGGCCTTCATCCAGCGATGGATTTCACACAGCCGTTGGTGACAATGATCTGTGTTTCTGTTGCCAGCTGTTCATGCTGGCCACTGTTTCTCAGTGTCGGATGTCTCCAGTATCAGCTATATTGCATTTTTATTGCCGCTTATCCTTGAGGTGTCTCCACCGCTAGCCATCGATCGTGTCAGCCGTCTCAAAGCTTTAGTTGTCTCCAGTGTGTTTCTATTTCCCAGAGACAAACTCCCCAGTGTCAGCTGCTTCCCCGTGCATCTCACAGCGAGTGGCGGAGGCGGAGGTGAGAAGCGAGACGAGGAGGAGGAGGATGAGGAGGTGTTGGTGGAGGAGGTGGAGGTGGTGTACACGGAGGGGGAGGATGGGCAAGCGGACGACTCGGTCGAGCAGGGCGCTGGCGCCGTTGGAGTCGGGGTGCAAGCGGGGCCCAGCGGGGTCAAGGGGGCGACGGGGGAAGGGACGCGAGCCCCCCGTGAAGACGGAGAGGTACGTCAACGCATCACCACCGTCAGGGGCTATCGTTGTTTGTTGTCGGAGTAATCATTGTCATCACAGTATAAAGTTCATCATGTCACAATCATCGTGTTATCATCGTCACCATTCTCACATTGTCATCATCGTTATCATCCTCTTGAGTACTGGGTTTCATCAGTGTAGCTTAAACCCGGATTAAATTCCAGGATCTCGGTATTGCTGACTCTGGCCCATAAGCCAGCCAGCTACCTCCGAGTTCCTACTGCAAGTTCTGTTTCCCGCTATTAATCTCCCACTCCCCATCTGCCCGTCTCCCACTCCCCCAGCCTCAAGCTGCGTTGGATCCGCATCTGGCCGATTCCAGCACAGGGGAGGCGCCCAGCCGGCACGTGTTCTCCTTCCCGTGGCTCAACACCGCCAAGCACTGATCGCAGGGAAGCCGTGTTCGCCGTCTCGACCATCTCGCCCCGAGTGAGAGGCAGAGAGTGGGGATCGATCGGCGCCTTGAGTCACCCAAGTCATCTCGGTCAACCCACGGCACCTGGTCCTGTCCCGTGGACTTCTGTTCAGCCGGCGAGCCTTCGACACTTCACGCGGCCTCAAAGTGCACGTAGCCTGGCACGAGCGTCGTAGTTGATGGGCAATAATGGGAGAAGGTAAATGAGGGGGAAGGAGGTCATAATTTGTATGATTGCGATGGAGAGGAGGCAACTAGCAATTGATGAATGAACTACATTCAATTCTTGTACTCAGGATTAGTGCATTGCGTTGTGCATTTAGAAATTGACTATTTACATTGATACATATTATATGTTTATGTGCATGCCTTTAGGCTAATGGAACAAATGAGAGGCTACATGCAAAAACATACGGACAACGATGCAAACGAGACAAAGAGTAATCGATTATTTATTTGAATGGTGAAGCTGAATAATAGAAATAGAATCATTGAAAGGGTGAATCGTCATATGGCCTGTGGAGAGGGAATACAGTGTAAGATGTAGGGGCGACATCAAATGAGATGCATGCAGAAGTGCAAACACTTCCTGTGGATTCATTTAAATTTTGTAACATTTATTAATGGGAATTATTTTCCTTTTCCCAGAAAATGCTTTGCTGTTTAGCTGAACGTTGCTCTACTGTTCGTTAAAATTAAATTCCTTCCTGCTCAAACGAGCATTGTATGGCATTCACTTCTGTAGGTGGCCCATAGCCAGAGGTGGAAATTCCACATTCCCATGGCAGGGGCCAGTTTATACACGGGATGACCACAATTCACTTGCCACAAAGTGATACTCATTTTATCGTGCTGTGAATGGGATGCTGGGCTGATTGGATACCCGATCGAGAATTCAACTTAAAACCTTCTCATCAAGCACCTAAGCACATATAAGTGTCAATTGATGTACTTTCATTTCTGAAATTATACAAAAGCCATTGTTTCTTTACATATTGTGTAGGCTCGGTTATATGAAGGGGTCGTACATCTATCTCTCTGTCGGCGTCAGCTTAAACTGACAAAGAGGTTTTTAAATAAAGACACGAGCTATATTAGAACATCTTTTTTCGTGCAGATATTAACTTGGTATCTTGCGGGGTTTTTTGTTTGTTTTAAACTTTCCCAGAATACATTGTTTCCGTTAGTGCGTAGCAATATTTACGGAGCGAAAGTCACCGTGCCCAGCTATCGTCACTCAGTGGCGCCTCATTCTCACTTATTCCCAGCGTGCGATTGGGCCGCACAGGCCAAACTAGATGCGGCTAAAAAGAAACCAAAGAGTATGAATCCTTTCAGTCACGAAAACTTCAAATCTAGAATTAGATGCGGCTGTTTTGGTTGAGCCAAATAACGATAATCACACACTGGATTTCCATTGAATAGTAAAAAGAAGAAAAAATTGGGATTATTTTAATTAAAAAATATATTCGTACACATTGGGCCACTTGTGTGCTGTGATTTGTGCACCGTTTTTCACAGTCGCGTTACGTGTCGCCTATTTTACAGTAAATGACTGCTGATAACTCCGTGAGCATTGAAAGTTTACACGTCGCGTTACCACTCTGTAGGGAGATGTTAAATAAACCCTTGTGGCTGCTCTCTTGAGCCACCGTAACATTGCAGTTGAGGTCGACACTTTGTTTTTACCAGTGAATCCGGCCCACGTGTCTCTTGAGCAATGTCTATTAATAATACTGTGCACAACAAGATGTAAACATGCTGAGATGTAAACGGTCACAGCGACGAGGCTTTGTGAGCTTATACCCGCTAGTGCGGGGCCTGTAGTATGTTATAAAGGGGCCCTTAATAAAACAAAACTAAGATTAAAACACTTTTTTTACTTGCATAGTAAAGTAATTGTATTTTTTCATTTGCTTTACAGCCAGATAATACGACAAATCGCTAACATTAAACACCCAGTCGTTCATAAAAGTTGAAGGCAGTATAGTACTATAGTAATAGAGCAAGTGCGGTGCCCGTAGCATTTGCAGCTACTTGTGCGCCTAGGATAATCCGGTACTGCACACACACATCACTTGTGTATGTTTACAGCAGCTTCTTTCAGATCGTTTTCGTCTTCTCGAATTCATATTGAAATTGTTCTATTCGCGAGCTTCAGTGTTCAACCGCAACTCTGGCAGAGCAGCAGTGTGCTCGAGAACGGAGCCACAGAAGGGGATATCACACAACTGATTCAGAGGGCATTTAAAATGACCTTTTATCCACACCGTGGATGCTGCATTTTTCTACGTTGTTTCCTTCTCACAGCTAGAAATTTGGAAAATTAAGTCGTGGATTATTTGTGCAGCGATTGATGATCAGGCTGAGAACATCAGCTCACTAAAACTTGAGGCACCACTTTAATTGCAGACAGCTGAAACCCAGATTTGGACCCAATATATCAGCTTTGCCGGCTCAGCGTACGTGTGTTGAACTTCTATCGCACCGTACGTAGCCAACCGTGCTAATCGGAGGTGTGTCTGACCCTTACGCCAGCTGGTCACCCCTTGTTTCTGTCTTGAACATCCTTAACGCGCGGCCTATAAGAACTGCTTGTGTAATGAAAGCAATGTTGTAACTCTACCATGGTGTATTCTACTTGTCTTGTGAGGCATTGCCATCACAGCGAAACTCGAATGTCCAAGCTGCCAAGCGAGTACTTCACTCACCCTGAGTGGGGATCGTCAGTGCAGTGTCGCCACGCTGCAGAGAGTGTGTCAGCTGCTTCGGTGTTGTGTCTGCTGTCAAATTCGATTGGCTTTGCACACGCAGTTCGGGAGTGTTGTTCACGTTGTGTACATGGACACATTGCGCCACATCTACATTAAATGAGATTAAAAACCGAAAGGTTTTGTTTTGGTCATGTAATTCCTGCACCCATCTTTGTGTTTCCCCATGAGTCAATTTGAGATGTTTCACCTGGGGAACGATGGGGAGGGGAGGGGGTGGAAGGGGGGTGTGGGGGGGGTGGAGGGGGGAGTGGAGTGGAGGGAGTGGGGGGGTAGAGGGAGGGGGGAGTGGGGGGTGTGAGGGGGTCGAGGGGGGAGTGGAGGGATGGAGGGGGGTGAATGGGGGAGGTGGAGGGGGGGACTGGGGGTTGAGGGGGGTTGGAATGGGGGGGGGCGGAATGGGGGGTGGAATGGGGTGGAGGGGATGGGGGGTGGGGGGATGGGGGGGGGTGGAGGAGATGGGGGGGTGGGGGGATGGGGGGTGGGGGATGGGGGGTGGAGGAGATGGGGGGTGGAGGGGATGGGGGGGTGGGGGGATGGGGGGGGGTGGAGGAGATGGGGGGGATGGGGGGGGTGGAGGAGATGGGGGGGATGGGGGGGTGGAGGGGGATGGGGGGGGTGGATAGGGGGGGTATGGGGGGGGGATGGGGGGGGTGGAATGGGGTAGAGGGGATGGGGGGGGGTGGAGGGGATGGGAGGGGATGAGAGGGGATGAGAGGGGATGGGGGGGTGGAGGGGGGGAATGGGGGGGTGGAGGGGATGGGAGGGTGGAGGGGGATGGGGTGGGGGTCACCGTGTCACGTGGGACGCGCCTGCACGTCAAGGAGGAGGAGGCGGCGTTTCGGCATCGTGGAGCAGTCGCTGCCACTTCGCGATGGAGGACATTAAAGGTGAATCTCTTGCATTCAATAAAACAACTTTATTAGTATTATTACAAGTTCAATGCTGTGTGTTCTCGTTCACAAAGTGGTGCTCGCAGTCGCGTCATCTGCGCGCCGTTGCATCTATGGGTTCAGCTTTAACCGAATTCAGTCTTGACCCGTGCAATCGGAGTGCTCTGCCGGAAGAGGCGAGGGAGACCCGGCGGAGCGTCTAGGCGACGAGGGGGCTTGCCTAGGCCGCTACGGGATCTGTTTTGTCGAGGCAAATTTTACTTTTAACGATTGACAAACATAATTAATGCGCACATCAATACATGCATACACACAAGGCAAAGACAACCCATTGTATAACCTGTTGGGGCAAGTGCTGTTAGCCAGCACCACGCCCGGCCGCCTTTGTCTCCCCAGTGGCGATGTTCTACACACCGCACCAGCTACTCATTTGAGGCTGAGTCGACCTAGGGGAGGCCAAGCACCGGTTCAGATAATCGGTTGAGATAATCGTCACTGATGTTGGCCGTGAGCGGGAATTGAACTCGGGTCGCCGGGTTCGAAGCGCAGAGCTCTAACCACTACACCACCGTCAACGCACATGTGTGTTGACGCGTGTGTGTGTGTGTACAATACAATGTACATACATACAATGTGCATTTATCTAGCGTCACATCCCAACAACAACAACAACAGCAGCAGCCGCCGCCGTTCGCCACGAAGTTGGTGGTGGTGGTGGCTGTCACCAGGGCGCTTACGGCTTGCGATGCCTCATCCCACGTGTTGACCAAGCAAAGACTCTTTGTCGGCATCGTCTTGCTAAGTTGTGTCGCAGTAGGAGGGACGATGGTTGTTGTTGGTGTTGGTGTGTGTGTGAGAGAGAGGTCCCCATTGAGGCAGGAACGTAGCGAGCTCGGGGGGCAGGGGGTGACTTGGCCCCCCACCCCCCTGGTGGCCAAAGCTTCACACCCACCATGAGGTTTGTTTGCAACAGTGGAAACATAACAACGCATTAAACGCGGTTTAAATTAAAGCAAATTATGGAAATGCTTGCATTTACGTTCCACGTGTTAATTTCATTGTGGAGCAGCAACGGTTGGCTTCCGCAAAGTGCGCACACCCCCTGAGCTTGATTGTGTAGTTTAGCCACTGCCATTGAGTGATTAATTTGCGGTGTAAATGAAGAAATTTGTAGTCGTGACGCCGGCACACAATGGCCTAGCTCTTGCTAATAACGTCACGGGGTCTGTAACGTCCACTGAGTGAAGTAGACGTTGCGTGGTTGTGGAAGTGTGTTTTTGCGGTGAATACACACCGCAGTATTTACCAGGGTGGCCCACCGGAATCGAAGCGTGTACCTCTGCAACGAGTGGCCAAGTTTTTGACGCTGAGGGGTCAGGGTAGGGTCCGTGTCAAGTCAGTCAAGGGCTGGGAGATTCGGACCTTAATCCATGATCCATACTCCCAAACCAGGTTTTGAAATCAGGACTCCAGAATCCTGAATCCATAACCTGGACTCCTAATAGACTGCAGGTTCTGAAATCTAGGCGTGAGATTCCTGAATCCATAATCCAAACTAGGCTTCATATTCCAGACTCCGGGTTTTGGTATTTGGACTTCAGTTATCTGAATCTAGCATCCAGAATTTATACTCTGGATTCTGGAATTTGGAGTGTAGGTTGTGGACTCTGGGTTATGGGCTCTGTGATCTGGGTCTTCATGCGGCGCTCTCCTCCCACAGCACAAGAGCAGAGAAGTGGAGATCACCAGTGATGTGGGGGACAAGGGAACGGCAGACCCGGGCAGTGTCCTCCAGCACGGAGTTCTTGCTCAAAGGCCCATAGTCCACCGGGGCTGACTTCCACCCGTCTAGCTCATAGTTTCCCCTCCCACGCCACCAGCGCCACGTAGTGGAGATCCACACTTGACCCCTCGGCCGTCACCTGAAACTGGCCTTGACTCCCACAAGCGAAGTGAGCCTTACGAATGGCCTCGTCATTCTGAAGCCATTCTCCTTGCTTCTGGCGGCTCAGCGACTTCGTCTCCTCAAGGAATGTGTTGAAGGGAGAGTCACTG